TATATATCGTCAAATAGAACTGCCCGGTAAACCGTAGGCAGAGAGGGAGAAGAGGACAACAAACGAGGGGCTGTGACAAACTGTTTCGTCGGAGTTTCACCGACTCATCAGGAGGCTGAATATATATATATATATGCGAGGCAGCAGCCTCTATGGAGCCCTTTCAGGCCCTGTTATACAGAACGTCGGCCGCCCTAAGTGAAGGTAGGCTCGACGAGGCCCTGAAGGCCTTTGTTTTGGTCACCACGAAACTCAAGGAAATTCAGGCAGTTGCGCAGCGGCAGTTGGTTGAAAGAACCCACGCCCTGGGCGGTCTGTTTGCATGAATCAAAGGCAGGCCCTGGGCAGGAAACGGGATGTGGGCCTAACACAGGCTTTTGACAGTTGGGCGCAAGCAACTAACACAGGCCCAAGGCCTGAGTTGGGTGGACTGGGCCTCAGCCTGCCGGGGCCTACCGGAAGCTTCTGGGTACAGGCCCAACGCAGCTTGGGACAGCAAGCAGGCAGGCCACTTCCATATAGCAAAGGGTCTGCCTCCGCATTGGCTATTCGGGTGCTGGCTGCATGCTGCGCAAGCGCTGCGGCGCTATTTGTTGGCTGGCTCACGGGCGAGCAGGGAAGGAGCAGGCGGCCATAGCCGAGCTGCGCTGCTGGTAGCTAGATGTGGCGCAGGGTGGTTCTTGGGTGCAAGTGGCATCTGTGTGGTGAGGATCGGGGTTGGGAGTGAAGCGAGAGACTTACCTGGTGCTGGAACCTTGCGGCATTGGCCGCTTGATGCCCGCACTTTGGAGATGTTGTTGTCGTCATAGTATAGCCTCCCAATGTGTATCTGCCATGTGTAGCTGGGCGCCGAACGCCAGATAGGACACCGACATTGCTTCTGAGTTTATGATGAGACTATTCAGACATTGTCAATTATGAGCTATTGCTGTTCTCTTATTTGGTGAACTCGTGTTGCAATGCTGCTTTTGGTTCGAGGTTACGACTATCTGGACTCGTATGAATGATGCTGTGTGATTGCTGAAGTTCGCTTGTGCTCATCTTCCTTGCAATTTGGTATCGGAGCGATGGACCGACTAGCAGCATGTAAAACGGTGTGTGGCGTTCTTTTCTTATTTAAAAACACTGCGAGGATTTGGCTCCTCGGCAAGCCTAAGGGCCCCATTATGCATATTTGCCCGCGCTAACTGAAGGCGGGCCTGATAAAATCATGAGAGGCCCTCGTTGTCAATTTCGCATTTGGGGTTCACACACTTGCCTCGCATTAGTTCTATCCGAATGTCAGTAGGAACTACACCCGATGACACCCTATCCAAGACTCTACCGTATGAGCATACATGCCTCGCAGAACATACATAGCCTGTGGGCTACATACGTTAATTTCCACACATGATGCTGTCTGTACATCTCAATACAGACAGGGTCACCAGACAATTCTATCCGAATGTCAGTGGGAAGTTGGGAACTGCACCCAATGGCACCCTATCCAACCTACCTGAACCTACCGCAGCTACGAGACCCCACCCAGAGACTACACCCCCAGCCTGTTTTTATGAATATATTTTGTGAATGGATATATTGAGATGTACAGACAGCATCATGTGTGGAAACTTACGTATGTAGCCCACAGGCTATATGAGTATGGCCGCAGCTTATATTATAAGGTGGCATATCACACATTCGTGCCATTTTCGGTGGTTAAGGTGGCATAGCACACATTCGTGCCATTTCCGGTAGTTGGTCATACGGTAGAGTCTTGGATGTGAAACGTATCTCCTTTTGCTAGGGGCTGCAGCCCAGAACACTTGCTTGTCTGGTAAGGGCCCCGCGAGGGCTCAATCCTCGCATCCATGTCGTCGATTGATTGATTGCCTTTTTTTTTTTTTTTGTCTGTGTGTGAGACAGAGAACATAAGCTGAATTCACTGACTTCCAGATTCTCTACCCACCAACAGGGAACATAAGCTGGGTTTGGACCATCCTGAGAGGCTGAGACCACCCCATGTTTATTCTTTGAAAAAAACAAAAAACAACCTATTGCAAGGAATATGAGTGACAACGATATACAAAAAACCAAGTTGCGAAATCACACAGATGACAAAGTACTTGTGTACGAGCAGAAAGTAGAAATGCACGAACATTCCATCCAAATAGAGCAATACAATGACGTAATGAGCCAATGTTGAAGCCTGCAGGGCAAACCAACACAGTATCCAAAGTCGCTCCTCTCTGTTTGGCGCCTGACGCCTAGCCTACTCTATCCGACTTTCCTACCTACAGCTGTGTTCACGCAACAGGTTCACTTCGACTCTCTAAGACCAATGTACATGATGTCAACGCTATAGCCTTTTGTACTCACTTCATGCACCAGGTACGTATCTTGTCACCCTCAATCAGACCTTGATACCCCACACTCGCCTCCTTCCCTGAAGACCACCACATCACCCTCTTACCCTCTGGTGCCCAGTAGCCCGACTATGATTATATTCTACATACAGATGGGGCATGCACACATGCAGCATGCCCTTTTTCTTTATCAGGGCCGGCGTCGGAGGATTGGTGCAGCTAGGATTTTCTTGCAGACTTTCATGGATTGTGATCCTCAGGTTAGGTGCAATGCTACAGTCTTTCCGAATTCACATTTAGCCATGTTATTTGGTGTCCTCTTGGTGCCCCTTTCACATTCCGAATGATTGATTGATTGATAGATGCAGTGATGTAATTGCCCCTTTCACTTCGTCGGCTCCTCCTCCTCTTCCTCTCCTTCTCTTCCTCCTTTTTTTCGTCTTCATCCTCCACCGGGGGCGATTGAATCTCTGCAGTGGGTGTTTTTGAGAGCTGCCCCCCAGAATAGAAGGGGCTGTGTTTGTTGGGGGAAAAAAAATGAAAAAAAATAATCGTGAATGACCAAGTACGTTGCTTTTTGTTTTGATCTGTTTGGAAAGAACAAATAAATTAATGGTTTACTTGATGTCGGACTTTCACAGGTTGTGATGACCAAGTACGTAAAGCTTTTAGCCGTATGTGGCGATTGAATCTCTGCAGTGGGTGTTTTTGAGAGCTGGCCCCCAGAATAGAAGGGGCTGTGTTTGTTGGTAAAAAAAAAAAAAAAAAAAAAAAAATCGTGAATGACCAAGTATGTTGCTTTTTGTTTTGATCTGTTTGGAAAGAACAAATAAATTAATGATTTACTTGATGCCGGACTCTCACAGGTTATGAAGGGCCAGTTTGGTTTGTGTTGTGTTCCACTTGGAACGAACTGCTAGTATAATTGGACTACTTGAGGCCAGCGGATCTTGGCCTCGTCTATTGATCAGTCAGCGGATCTCTGAGGCCAGTGGATATCGGCCTCGATCTATTGATCAGTCAGTAGTAAATCAGGTAGGACTTCGTCAAAATCTATGAAATGTTGTATGCAGGGTTTCTCGTCATTTTGCTGGCCCGCCTTCACTTAGGGCCCGTACGAGGCTTGCTGGGGGCCTTAGCCCAGTACATATGCATGTTGGCTAGGCCCCGTGATGGCTCAATCCTGACAGTTGTGAATGTCTTTGCTGAAGTTTTTTCTGTTTTTTTTTTTTGAAAAGTTATCGTTTTATTGCTAATTCAATGGGACGAGGCCGGGGACCTCACAATTCTACTTGGGTTTTATTTGAAGCTTATCACAGGGAAATAGCAGAATGTCATGTGATGCCAACTTCCTCTATGCCTCTCAGTGCTGAGCACAAAGTGCGTGGATCTGTGTTGCGGACCAAGCAAAGTTCTAGGTGGAAGTAAGTGAAGTAGTTTCTTATTGAAGTTCTTCCGTGAAAATTATGTAAAACTATGAGTAAGCATGCTGCATTGTGTGTAACGTGACACAAGGTCAAGTTGGAGAGGAGATACATTGTGCTGAGTAGGAATGAAGTAGGGAGGAAGCAAATGGCCTGAAAACAGATAAAAGGTGGAGTGGGTTGTTGCTGATAGGGCGGAGTGCTTCGTGGTGTGTATTTCCACGATTGATTGATTGACTGATTCAGTGATGTAATTGCCCTTCTGTTCCTGAAAGACGAGTTCATATCTGCATGATGGTTGAGTCTCATGATGGTTGGATTTATGTTGGTTGCAGCACGAGGCGTGTATCCCGTCAAGCACGTGTCCCTTGTTCGTTATCACCAGCAACTTGCGTCGTACTCACTCCATCAGAAAGTTGCTTGAGGGTGTTGCAAGTTCTGGCCTCGCCAACAACACCAATCCTCCCCATCATCGTTCGACAGAGGTGGGTCTTTCATGTATTTCACACTTCCCCAATACCTCCTCCTCCACCTGCTTGTCGTTGTCGTCATCATGCATGTGTGTGCGTGCGTGTGTGTGTGTGTGTGTGTGTGTGTGTGGCTTGTGTGATGAATGAGCGGGATGACTCTCTTGTGTGCAATATGTGAGCCCGAAAAGACTAAGAGCGCCTATGGATGATGCGAATGTTATGCCAATGCCTTAAGCAAAAAAATTATAGGGGCTAGGGGTTAGCCTGCGGCGTCGCACCCCGAGGATGCCCCAGGAACCACTTAGGATCTCCACGCTTAGTTAAAAGGTGTGTGGTCCAATGGATGACGCTTGACCTACATACGAAAAAGAAGATGAAGTCTCAATGAACTCCCTGGACTACCTGCGTATTGGAAGGATCAATTGTCTGGTTACATTTAAATGAATCGAGAAAACGCAACGAGTGATCAAAGAGCTACCATCTAACGCGAGAGCGGAGCTACATCCCCCAATGTAAAGCCCTCTCGCAAATGGCCCATCCCCATCCATCTCAAAGCACTAGGTGGGGGTGCCCCTGGGAAGAACGACCCGCGCCCTGAGTGTGAGCGTGGGCGGGTCGAGCCAAATGGGACCCGCAGTGGGGTCGACTTAGGCTCGAAAGTCCTTTAGGGTACGGCCGCTACAGAAAATGGTGGAGGTGTCGGGTATGGGTTAAACTGACCCATACGGTCTCGAGGGGGGCGCCCGACGCATGATCGTGTACATAACCGAAGATAAGGAATAAGGACTTGTGTATGCTCTATCCTCTTGAGTGAATCAGATTTGAGGGCGGCTGGGCGCATGGCAAGGCCAGGCCTGGAGGAAATAACATGCATGCTTGCACACTTGATCAGCCATCTCCTTTGGAGGTGACTCTAGTCCTCCTTCTTTCGGGCTGATGTTCGTCAGACTGGGGAAGCATTGGGCAAGCCGCAGGTCGACCCTTCCTCTTCATGCGAAAGAAGGGCTTCGGTTACCTGGCAGGCGGTTGGAATTCCGGGCTAGTCCGGGTTCCGATAAAAATCCCGCGGTGGAGTGATCCGACCGACACGGGTGCCTTCTCTCCTCTTCTTTGGAGCCCAGCGGGCTCCATGCACCGCACTTGAGATGCTTGAAAGAACCTCGTATGAACATAACAGGTAATCGAGAAGGAACAATCCTGCCCTTTGAACAGACACACAAGCTAAGATAAGGGGAATGAAGGGAGTTGCTAAACTCCAAGAAAACTAGCTCACCTTTGAAGATGCTCACGAAAAAGAACTTGGAACTATATATGGAAGATAGGGGTGAGTGACACACACTGTCCTGAGAGAAAAATTGTGAGCTATGGGTAGGAAGCGCTGGGTGCACCGAGGGAAAGACACTTGTATTATGTATGTCCCACTTGGGACTTGTTTTTGCATGATGGGGATTTGAGCGTCCTGCCTTTCGGAAGGAAAGGAGGGGTCTGCACCGGCCGATGCGGGTTGCAAAACATCGCTCTCTTTTGTAGACTGCCGTTTGTCCGTATGTGGGGGTCAGGCCACCGAGCTGTCTAACGGGAGTTTGTCACGCTGGGTGATTATTAGCATTCTCGTTCGCGCGGTGACGGGTCACGGCCCAATGATCTGTCGGGCGGGGTGTGAAACGTCTCTCCAGGCGGGGCCTAGCCTGTGAACTGGCGGAGGGAGTACCACTGCATGCGGGCAAAGACGGAGCCTCGGAGACGATTAGTAGCTCCTCGTAGCTTGGTTTGGGAAAGGTTGTTCCTTGTCGGACCGATGGAAGTGAATGCCCGGACGGTTGACTTTTGTCCCTGTATTTAGGCACACGGGGTGACTCCTGGTGTTGGTATGGATGAGCAAAAGCGGCAATACGGGATGGGGTATTCTGGGCAAGAAGGTGAGGGCGACCCCCCACTGGAGTCTGGGTACAGCGCTCGCGACAGTTGAGCTGTGTTTGAGGTACGGGATAAAACTCTGCCGATAGTAACAGCGGAGAGACCACTTTTGGGAAAAGGCCGGTGAGGAGATGACTGGCCTGTGTGCGATGATTGCTTGAGTTTTCTTTTTGTGCCTCCCTCTGTAAAATCTGCCTGATGGATGTTGGGATAGGAACTCAGCTTCTAAGTCTATTCTCACCTCCTGTCTAAGTCCACACGAATGAGAGAACATGAGGATAAGGCTGGATAGGAGTCGGAAGGAAATGGAACCAAGAGAAAGGAATGTCGGTTGATGGTGATCGATTGAGGGTATGACGGGGCAACGACATCTGGGAAATGGGTAGGAAAGGTTAGGGAGACCCGGATGAGGGGTCTGAAAATAATTCTCATTTAGAGAGAGAGACAGTCTGACCGAAGGGGGGAGGGGGGCATGTGGTGCTCTCTTATGGAAAACAGGGCGGGAGCTGGCAAACGAGACAGTCTGACTGAGTTGTCACCCCCGGTCTATTCTACACGGTGGTCGGCAGGTGCGTCATTGTCTTTTGTACAACCTTGTAATTGTACGTCAAAAGACAGTGCACCTGCCGACCCGGGTAAGCTTCTAAGGAAAGTGGGCCCATTTACCCTCAAGTACCAGGTCTGGCGGAGACCTTTCTTCTGTGTATGAGTCCCCTTCTTGCTGTGTGTCATGTGTGATGATAATTGTGTGGGAGTCTGGATCTGATGTGTCAGGTCCTATCTTTCTGTCTGGAGGTGCACTAAATACCATAACATCGTTGTTAGTGTCTTCCATCTAAGGCCACCCAGGTGGCTATTGCCTATTCCTCGCAGCCTTGCAACCGGTTGGCTATCGGCAATGTCATAGACAATCCTTACACGGTAGTCGGCAGGTGCGTCATTGTCTTTTGTACAACCTTGTAATTGTACGTCAAAAGACAACTCACCTGCCGACCCGGGTAAGATTCTAAGGGAAGTGGACCCATTTACCCTCAAGTACTAGGTCTGGCGGAGACCTTTGTTCTGTGTATGAGTCCCCTTCTTGCTGTGTGTCATGTGTGATGAAAATTGTGTGGGAGTTTGGATCTGATGTGTCAGGTCCTATCTTCGAGTCTAGAGGTGCACTAAGTACCATAACATCGTTGTCAGTGTCTTCCATCTGAGGCCACCCAGGTGGCTATTGCCTATTCCTCGCAGCCTTGCAGCCGGTTGGCTATCGGCAATGTCATAGACAATCCTTACACGGTGGTCGGCAGGTGCGTCATTGTCTTTTGTGCAACCTTGTAATTGTACGTCAAAAGACGGCGCACCTGCCGACCCGGGTAAGCCTCTAAGGAAAGTGGACCCATTTACCCTCAAGTACCAGGTCTGGAGGAGACCTTTCTTCTGTGTATGAGTCCCCTTCTTGCTCTGTGTCATGTGTGATGATAATTGCGTGGGAGATTGGATCTGATGTGTCAGGTCCTATCTTCGAGTCTGGAGGTGCACTAAATACCATAACATCGTTGTCAGTGTCTTCCATCAGAGGTCACCCAGGTGGCTATTGCATATTCCTCGCAGCCTTGCAGCTGGTTGGCTATCGGCAATGTCACAGACAATCCTTACACGGTGGTCGGCAGGTGCGTCATTGTCTTTTGTACAACCTTGTAATTGTACGTCAAAAGACAGCGCACATGCCGACCCGGGTAAGCTTCTAAGGGAAGTGGGTCCATTTACGCTCAAGTACCAGGTCTGGCGGAGACCTTTGTTCTGTGTAAGAGTTCCCTTCTTGCTGTGTGTCATGTGTGATGAAAATTGTGTGGGAGTCTGAATCTGATGTGTCAGTTCCTATCTTCGAGTCTGGAGGTGCACTAAATACCATAACATCGTTGTCAGTGTCTTCCATCTGAGGCCACCCAGGTCACTATTGCCTATTCCTCGCACCCTTGCAGTCGGTTGGCTATCGACAATGTCATAGACAATCCTTACATGGTGGTCGGCAGGTGCGTCATTGTCTTTTGTGCAACGTTGTAGAGGATATTAACCCTTGTAGTTGACGGTATGCTAAGAGAGTATACCCTTCATGGGCCTTTGCGTATGATACGCATCAAGTATAACGGTATAACGGCATGCTCTTTATCTCTTTGTTGCTCCTGGTAATTACTATTTTATTTGAGCAATATTTCACTGATACTTGTATCATTTTGTAGACTTGATTTGAAACCGTGTAGGAATTATTAATTGCTGATTTTTGTCATGACGGTCTAACAGAAGGACAATCCTACCAAGTGTCATTTGTAGTCGATGACCACGAGAAGATGGACATGTGGTACTGAAGTAAGATCCGAGGAGCGGGACGTGGGTGTTGAAGGATAATCATTCAGGAGCTGCCTCAGATATTTTGAATATGTCAAAGATGAAGGAAAAAAAAATAGATTTAGGAAGTATAGACGAGCATAACATATCGAGCGACGAAGGCAAGACTCAACGGGCTGCAAGCAGAAGGGTAGATCCTGCTATCCTCCCCTCTGTCCCACGCGCCAAAGTCCTGCAAGCAATAGCCGGGGGAGAGACTTGCATCGAGAAGATGTATGCAGAGGGTGTATTGTTGTCCGCTCTCTTGTTTTAATCAAAAGATGATGTACGTAAATTGGAGCATGAGGTTGCCGAAAAAAACAAACAGCTCATGAAGCGTAAGTTAGAGTTACAACGATTGAGAGACGAAGAGAGCGCATCACACAAGAAAATCGATATTCTAGAGGCGCGCCTTGCGGACGTCACGTTTCGACTGAATGAAGTCGAATCACGTTATACATCACAGACACGAAAAAGGAGGGCATTCAAACTACCAGACAACACATGTCCGGGACCAAGAGTCGGAGAGGTTGATGATTCGTGGGACGTTCAACCCTGTGCAGATACACGCAAGTGTGTTCTTGTGGAAGGTTGGGCCGAACTTGGTAGCCAGACACAAGTTTCAATTGACAACGTTAAGGGGGATGTATAAAATCTGCATGAGCTTTTGTACTTCACAGAGGATTGTGTGCGACATTGCTCCGAGACTATAAGTCATCATTACGGACGTGATAGTGATCATCGTACAGCATCGAGTGGTGAAGATATCATCATGGGAAACATTCGTTGTCTGTTGTCGAGCTGCATAGATATTATGGATTCAACTGTGCATTTTCGCGCTAGAATTGAGTGTGGGGATTTGAAGTTCTACGACGAGCCGGAGACATCAACAAAGCACGATTGCCGACAAAATGAAAAGGCGAATGCTCATGATACCTACTCAAAGCTGTTACATGGAGGAGAAGATACGGAGGACGACACACGCTCCACATCCCCCACGCACACAATCTTCAGGTGCGATGATTTCACACGGTTGACTTCATTCGAGGTACGACATAATTTTTCATGCATTATGGTTTGAAAAACACCTTCTTTGGACAAGCCCGACACCACGATACTGATGACAACGGATGTTTTTACAGCACATGTGGCAACTGCAAATAAGCGGGATGTCGTAAGACTTGTCATCGATATAATGTCTCACATGATCTCTTTAATGAGAGAAGTAATAAAAGTTGTCAGTGCTCGAGGTTAGAGGACAACGGTGGCAACAAAATGCTGTCATTGTGAAAGTCTTCAACTGGGCCGAGAACAGTTGGGAAACATGTATAGAAAATGTCAGATTGTATGTCAACGACTCATGAAACAGTCTACTATCTAATTTCTATATGTGTGTTGTCGGAGATGAGTGGTGCATATATGTATGTATGACTACTTGTATGTATGTGAACACTGTACAATCTCATATAAGTTGCGATTGTGGATGTTGTAGATGACGTCGCTTTCACAGTTCGCTTCCGGAGGTGGAGAAACAGAGTATGTTGCTACTGAAGATCTGGTGCATGGCATGGCAGACATTGGGGAAGGAGAGACCGAGAGAGGGCAGTGTGGAAGAGACACTAAAGAGATTTTCGTGTAGAAAATTTGAAAGAGAGAGAGATGGATCCAGGTGGTTGTGGTCTTGGAAAAAACCGAATGATGGACGATGATGATAATAATGCAGGAGGGGAATGCGAGTGCCTTGTTGACGACAAATGTGTGACGATGACCGAAGAGGGTGAGTTGTTTGAGTACACTGTGAGGTGGGAACCTAATGTCGTGCAACCAGGATTGTATCGCGGGAAGCGTTGCTTTGCTATAAATTGCAATGAGAGATGGATCTCTGTCGAGGCACCATCTCCTGAGATATGGGATCATTTCACTTTTGCAATTGTTGAGGAACGAGTGCATAGGTTGAATCCACTTGTTCCGAGAGATGCTCTCACACTCCATTCCTTCACAATCCACAAACTTTTGAAGGAAAGAAAACAATTACAGTTGAATGATTTTTTTTACGACAATATGGAGTTATCGGTTCCATGGTTTGTCACTGCTGAAGATGCAAGATCAAACAGTTGTTCTGAAGATGATCCAAGGAGAGACCCTCGTTGGGGGTGGGTGCCGCTCACGATCCCTGTAGCAACGGCTGTGGTGCGAGTGAGACGGCAAGACGTGATGGGGAACTGGTGGCTTGTCCAGTATATTAATGAAAAATTCACTTTTGGGACTTTTGACAGTGAGACTTGGGTGGAGAAAAAGTCAGAAAGGGAAGAAGGAGAACATGGGAATAGCGTGGATAGTAGTGTTCCACTCAAAAATCCAGTTCCACTAATTTTTGCGGATGACCATACGTTTTCTGAGGATGTGCGTGTGTGCCTCACAGACAAGCAGGGCACGATCGAAAGGTACACTAATGTGTGGGAGGATATCTGGAATCCTTATATCCATAAAGAAGAAAACATTTGTTAGTATGATGTCAGACACACATTGATGACGGTACCTGATTCTGGGAAGTGTGCATCCTCAGATGTATACGGGTATCATGTAAATTGGAATCACGATGTGTTGCAGCCAGGGTATTGGAAAGGGAAGTTGACCATGGCAGCGAAAGCTCCTTCAAGTCACTGGCTCCCTTTAGGCTTCATGAAGGAGGGACTTGTGGGGGATTGGCAATTCATGGTTGTGCTTGCCAGAGTTTCGTTGTGCAATCCAGACATTCTGGATAAGAAGGTATTGTACGATCATGCAAATCACAACTGGCAGAGAATCAACGTGGAAGACAGACAAATGATCGTTTGTGGATATGATTCCAAATCAAAGCAACGAATGTGGCTCATCGGCACAGATGATGATGGTGATGATGACACTGACAAGGATGTCACATTTCAATGTTTGGAGAATCTACGTGAGCGTTTTCATTCCTTAGCTCTTTTGGGATGGGTTCCGGTGATTTGGAAGGAGGAATGTGTAGACCAGAGTCCTGTTCATGTAACTTTCAAGGATCCACTGGGAGTACCTTTTGATCTGGTTTATGAAAAAGGTTTATTACGTCATTGCATGTACAGTGCAGAGGTTTCCCGAAACAATGGCGTGTGCACAGAGCCAGAAGACGCAGACGATGAAGTTGGAGGCGGCTCAGAGAATGAGGGAGACACACCAGGCATGCCTCAGAGAGAGCGAGAGAATGATGAACCCTTGATGAGCGAGGACTCCAAACTCGAGGCGATTCGACTCTTGAAGAAGAATGTTGATGCAAAGAATGACAATGTACGCAAAAAGGCTGCAAAGGTCAACCATGCACGAGAAGAGAGGGCGAAGAGGAAAGAGAATGAAGATGAGCATGTGTCAAAGAGGAAAGGGAGAAAACAAAAAGAAAACGTTGATGGAGGACAGACAAGGCGTTGGAAGTTCAGACCCGGGACAGTTGCACTTCGAGATATTCGTAAGATGCAAAAGTTCGTGGATAGACTCATTCCCTTTGCTCCATTTGTGCGGTTCGTGAGAGAAATACTAGAAGATGACGATTGGAGGACAAGATGGGGAGAAGAAACTAGTCATCTGTGTGGCCCAACAAGAATATCCCTTCTAGCTCTCAAGGCGTTGCAAGAGGAAGCAGAGGCATACATTGTGCATATATTCAATTTGACAAACCAGGTAGCTATCCATTCCAAGAGAGTGACTATCATGAGGAAGGATATGCAGCTGGTTATTGAATTGAAAAAGGGGACATGTGACTACGACACAGGCAAGATCTCGTCTCACAGAGAAAAGAGGGACCTGACAGCGAGAGAGAAGAAGGACGATCCACCGCAGGAGAAAACGGAGGGTCCGGGACAAAAGCAAAAAAAAACAGTGCAAAAGGAAAAGGAGGATCCGCCGCGGAAGAAAAACGACCCACCCCCGAAGAAAAAGGACTCGTCGGTTGCCACAGTTGCTCCAAAAGCGCCAAAGACTCAACAGTTGCAGCCACAACAGTCAAGAAAAAGAAAAGTTGTAGCTTCAAAACTGACAAACAGGAAAAAATCGAAGTCCTGAACATTGTGATGTGGGATAGTAGCCTTTGTGGCTAAATGTAGTTAGGAGTCTTAGTATTTGCAATTGTGTGATGTACATAGGGTTTCTTTGGGGCAACAGCTCCTCTTTCACTTTGCCTCGCATGTACAAGGCAGGCCACGTTGTTGCTGGTTGGGTTATTTATTAACTCAAGCGTAGGTTTGCGGCCATAACCTTTTTTACTCCCAGGTACAGTCCCAGAATTCCCAAGGTTCCACGTGCCATGTACCATAGTCCAACTGGTAGTCCCTGTCGTACAGTCTGTAGGGTCTGTTCGTACAAGTTTCTGGTAGGTTGCCAGAAGTTTGTTCCATGAGAGAGAGAGAGAGAGACAGAGATAGAGAGGCGGACAGACAAACAGACAGACACACACACATGCAATGACTTGCTGATTTCTGCTGCCGTGACTAACTGCGAGGCGGTATTATGTCGTGATTGCCTGCTGAGTTTGCGGTGTGTTTGATTGTGTGTGTCTGAATGTCCCACTGAGGCCGACATACTATTAAAAAAATAGAACCGGTCCATCCCTGCGGTTGCACACACAGAGAGAGAGAGAGAGAGAGAGAGAGAGAGAGAGAGAGAGACATAGACAGACAGACAGGCAGACAGACAAACAGACAGACACACACACATGCAATGACTTGCTGATTTCTGCTGGCGTGGCTAACTGCGAGGCGGTATAATGTTGTGATTGCCTGCTGAGTTTGCGATGTGTTTGATTGTGTGTGTCTGACTGTCCCACTTAGACCGACAGACTGTTCTAAAAATAGAACCGGTCCAGCCCTGCGGTTGCAGGCCCAGACTTCCCGGAAGTTTAAAGGCCCATGGGGGCCCACAGTGGGTAGAGCCCGTAGCTGGGTAGGGGCCCATATCCCGAACTGAAACGGTACCGGTAGTTCTATTTTTAGGTCCTTTTTTTATTTATTATTATTATTTTTTTTTTAGCAGTATATCTACTGTTTGTGCTTCTGCTGAGGGCAATCAGAAGGACGCTGCTGAGGGCAGCGCCATAGCCAAGCACCATAGTTGGCTGGTGCTTGGAAGAAGAGCGGGCGCATAGTGGGTCTTCGTGTATGGGCACGGGACTGTGAGGGAGGAGAAGAGGAGGTATAAGGAGAGAGTTGGTGATATCAATACCAAGGGCTCGTACCTGGTATTGGCGATGGTGCTCATCTTCAAGTACTTTGACGGCTGCTGATGTCAACGAGTTGCATTGTCCACGTAGAAGAAGACGTAGCTGAGTAGGCGGTATTTAGGCACTGAGCGCCGTAGTCGGATACGACATGGATACTCATGTGATGGAATCTTATCTCCACCGCTCTCATTGACATTTGGTAGAGTGTTACGAATCTCAATCGGTGTAATATTGGCGCATTGCTGCTTTTCAGATTCAATGTGACTTCATGCTTTCAATGTGGAATAGAGATTTTCGTTTGTGTCACTTCGCAATCACTCAAATTCCTTGCACTTTCTATTTCCAAGGCATTACTGTGATGTAGCACTTTCCAAAATATATGCGGCCGCACTTTGGTCCAGCAGAGGATGTCTGAGAGGGCCTTCACGTGCTGAACTTGGTATCTCTTTTCCCCTTACAATTTTGTTTCTTCGTTTTTTTTTTTTTTTTTTTCACAACCAATGTATCGGCTGTTTGTGATTCTGCTTCTCGTGAGAGATGGTGAGCATTCAATGCCTGCCGACTTTTTCAATTTCAGGCCTTCAGTGTGACGTAGCACTTCCCACTGTTTCCAGCAGTGGATCTATGTGAGGGAAATCAGGTTGAGAGTTTCGTACCTCTTCTCCTCTTTGTTTTTTTTTTGTTTTTTTTTTTTTTTTTTTTTTTTTTTTTTGTTTGACCACGGATTATATTTTTTTTTTTTCAGAACAGACCTTTTTTTTTCCTTGGGCTTAAGATCAAGTGCTTCCTGTTTGGCTCCCCGCCACCAGTAGGCGGGGAGCATTCAAGTAGATGACGGATCAGGCTGCACTTCTACCCGACCTTTTTCATGTACACGACTGAAAACAGGAAATGTATTAACTTTTTGCAATCTGGTCGCTGGCAGCAGGTTCACAACAAGGGCAGTACATGTGACAAGCATCTTAACCCACGTTCATTCCCGCCCCCGGGCAGACTCCCAAAAATGGTCTCATTTCTTTTTTATTTTTTCTGAGTTGCCTGTGA